AAGGGGCTCTCAGGTCTCTCCAGAGCCTTCTCTTCTCTGGGTGAGCACTCCCAGCTCTCCCAGCCTGTCCCAGAGCAGAGGGGCTCTCCCTGTTCCAGTGTGGAAATTGAGACCAGGCGTGAGATGCCTCCAAACCTGGGCTCCAGCAGCTTCACCAGGATCACCTGCTCACCAGCTCTTCCCCAAACAGTCTTGGGGGGGTTATTAACACCAGGACAGATCAACCCCTTGCTCCCTGTGGTTGTCAGCACAGCAAGGAAGACCTGGTGCTGTTATGATTTCGTTTCAAGGCACACTTTGTGGGGAGGGAGAAAAAAAGGGCATTGAAAACCTCTCTGTTGAAACATCAGCCTTCCCTGCTCTGCTTTGCAAACACTTCTCTGCTCTCTGCCAAGGAAAGAGGAATTAGACTCAGCTCTGTCTCAGGAAGTGAAGCAGTGGACACTGGGGACCAGAGGAGTGAGTGAATGAGCACAACCTTCTGGAGGCACTCCAGGGGCACAAAAGAAGATCCAATAACCCGGAGAACAGCACGTTCCTGTGTCAGGGCCAAAGCCACCCCGCCAGCAGAACAGGGTTGTGCCTGGGGCAGCAACATGTTTAATGGCTTTAGTATTATTCTCTGAGCAGTCCCAGGATGCTCCCAGCACGTGCAGGAGGGCAGAGCCACCCTGGGAATGGGACTAACACTTTGTTACTGGTTTTTTAAGTGGCTCCTGCAGGAACTTTCTCATTTTGCTCACTGAATTCAGCAGCTGAAAGAAACATATGGCCCATATATTTCACCACAATAGGTCCAGGACAGCTGATTTTACAGTACTTGTGGATTCACTTAGGTTGGAAAAGCCCTCTGAGACCACTGAGTTCAACCCTTCCCCCAGCACTGCCAAGGCCACCACTGACCCATGTCCCCAAGTGCTACATCCACACATCTGTTAAAACTCTCCAGGGATGTTGATTCCATCACCTTGAAGCACATCAATAAAACAAGATTCTTGGACAATATATGGCCCTGGCCATTCCAGGTTAGTCCAGCCCAACCCTCTCAACCATTTATTTCATTTTGTTATTCAGATTATTTGTATTTAATTTACCAAAACAGAGTTAAACTTGTACTTTTGCCTGAAACACTGTCATTTTTCCATGTCCTCCTCGTCACCTCAATGGGTTTATTATCTCATTTTTGATGAGATGGGACAGTCTCCTCCATAAAATGTTTAAAAAGGCTCAAATGATTCTCAGAATGATGATGGAATTTGCACCATCATCAAAACAGCAAAGAAATACTTTCTGCCTTTATTTTCATCCAGGAATCACTGAACCAACTGAGGAGCCACCAAATTACTTTTCTGACTCCAGATAGGCACTTATCAGGTGCAATAGCAAAAGACCCACAAAAAACCTTACTAATTCTCTTTTCCTTGAAACTCTTTATAACTGGAATCTTACTGGGAAGTGAAACTCAGACACCTGGCAACCACCATCCCCAGGACCTCCCCATGAGCCTCCTGACCTGCACACAGTGGCCAACGTGTATCTGACGTGTTTCTAAGACCTTTTCCAAGGTCACTCCTACTCTGCCTCTTACTTTCTTCCCAGTTAACTTGATTTTTATCTGGAAACATCCTTAAGCCTCAGTTTTTATGTGGGTTTTGGTGCCTAACTGGAAAAATACTGGCCAGTGTTTATCTGGCCAATGTGTATCTGGGACCGATGGGTCATGAGCTGTTGGCCACTAAGACACTTGCAGAGAGGCTGATTTTTGGAGCTCAAGAATCTTCAAAAATCTACTTTCTATGTAGCCTTACAAGGTAGATTTCTAAGGACCTGGGCTCTCAAAATCACCAATGACTTTAAAACCTTGTCCAGAACACGCAGCACGTGAACGGGCAAACATATGGGTTAGAAACACAAGCTTAGGAAAGTCACTTGGGGAAGAGAGGGATTATTTGTTCAAAAGGATGCTTTTTAGATGTTTCTAAAAAATTCAGCATGTGAAAAAGAAGAGGACATATGCTCATCACTTGTCCCTGAGACATGCATCTGATTGTTCCTGTTGAGAAGCCAAACTTCAACGAAATGCCCCCAAACCCAGCAGATGGGTTGAATTACTAATCGTGAGAAGACTCACTCCACAGTGAGACTGAAAAATCCCACAAACAAATAAGGAGAGCCACCAGAAGAGCTTGGTTTGGGATCTCTCCAGACCCACGATGATGAGCAGTAATTACTTCACATGTAGAGAAGCTCTGTGGCACATTTAAAGCCTTTCATTTCCATTCCCTTGTTTAAGTGAGATTATTGCTCCCCGTAGCCGACTAACAATAGATTTCTTAAGTTTCCCCTGACTTGCCAGCAAAGCAAATATCCTCTGGTAAATCTATGAGCTTGAACAATGATTTTTCATTTTTACAACAGCACAATCAATGCAATTTTCCAGGTATAACTCTCCAGCCTCCCCCTATCAGCTCGTTAACGTACGAGTGCCGCACTCCAAACCGTGCCTGGAAAAATCTCCACAGACTCTGCCAGCCCAGGTTGCTTCTGAACACTGAATTCATTGCTTATGAATCACTTCAGTGTGTGCAAACACTTGAATCACTAAGCCATATCTAATATTGCACATGGTAATCAAGTGATGCTGTCACAGTGGAGTCTGGAAGGATGCTCTGAGGCAGCTCTGCAATTGGGGGCTTTCACTGGGAAAAGCAGGTTTTGTCTGTTTGTGAACGTGTTTTATTTGCAGATGTAAATGCCTGGAAAGTAATTTTGGGCTTTGTGTCTTCTTGAGATACTCACAAGAGTCCCATCAACCCCCCCAAGACTCTGAAACCACAAAAGTGGCCCTGTATTCTTCCTGGTATTTAAGATACCTTTAACTTTACAGCCACTGTGACAACATGACCAGAGTCTTTAAGCTGGAAATGCCATTTCATCTCAGTAGCTTTTTGCCTCAGGTCAGACAGATAAGAATCCAAGGAAAGAAACTCCTCTCACCCCTAAAACCAAGTCATTTTCCCCCTTAAACTGAAATTAAAATGCTATAAATATCCCATCCCTGCTCAGTCCCGCAAAGCCTTCCAATAACTGCTCATGCCAACTTGTTAAAGTGTCGCTTTGGGCTCCTTAAATCCTGCTGGGTGCAATTTCTCTTGCAAGTGTGTCACCAACCTTGATGCCCAGCTCGATGTTCTCCCCTCCATACACGTCCATGCCGGGGTCCAGGAGCCCGATCTCCCCGAAGAACTTCCTGTTCACCACGAAGGAGCAGCCGATCATGGCCGGGGTCCTGCACGGAGAGAAACCCACGGGAAGGCACAGTTAGTGACATTCCCCAATGTTTTAATGGGCTGAGGGATAATTTCTGCAGAGCTCCTGTTGGCTTCAGATGTTTCCTGGCACTGGTTATCCCGGAGAAATCGCGGCAAGGAGTGAGCTCAGAATCCCAGGATGTGCTGAGTTGGAAGGGACCTACAAGGATCATCAGTCCAACCCTCAGCCCTGCACAGGCCCAGCCCCAAGAGTCCCCCCCTGTGCCCCAGAGGATCAGCCAAACCCTCCCTGAGCTCTGGCAGCCTTGGGGCTGTGCCCACTGCCCTGGGGAGCCTGGGCAGTGCCCAACCAGCCTCTGGGGGAAGAACCTTTGCCTGAGATCCAACCTGAGCCTGCCCTGACACAGCTCCAGCCATTCCCTGGCTGCTGTCCCTGGTCCCCCCAGAGCAGAGCTCAGTCCCTGCCCCTCCTCTGCCCCTGCCCAGGCAGTTGGAACTGCACTGAGGTCTCCCCTCAGTCTCCTCTGCTCCAGCTGAACACACCAAGTGCCCTCAGTGTCCTCCCACGGCTTCAAATCAAGGCCCTTCCCCATCCTTGTGGCCTCCTTTGGACACTCTCCAATGGCTCAATCCCTTCTCTACATTGTGTCCCCCCAAACTGCCCCAATGTTGCAGGTGAGGCCACCCCAGGGCAGAGCAGAGCAGGACAATCCCCTCCCTGGTGCCCCCAGGACCTTTGAAGAGGTTATTTTACCACTGCAATGACATGATCCCAAATTCAAGTTTGTGTCACTCCGAACAGGCTGGAGAGACATCCTGGGGGTAAATTACAGAGAAGCTCTGCTGGGAGCACCTTGTGGTGTCCATGGGCAAGGGCACCAACTCTTGGGTTTCCAATGCCCACAGCCCCAAGGCTGCCAGACCTTCAGGAGGTTTTGGATGATCCTCTGGGGCACAGGGGGTGACTCTTGGGGCTGGGCCTGTGCAGGGCTGAGGGTTGAACTCCAGGATCCTTGGGAGTCCTTTCCAGCTCAGCACATTCTGGGATTCTGTGATAAGTGAAGGAAATGTAAAAATGACATTTCCTTTCTCTTACCTCTAGCCTGTCTAGCAACAGAGTAGACTTCAGGACAGACAGCAGTTTTTATGGAATCCTGTGAAAGACGGTTTCCCATTTGGATCTTTATAATACATCACAGAGGAGCCATCACCAAGAGCAACGAGGTCACTGCAAATCCTTTAAAAACTCAAGACAACTGTTTGCAGAACCATCAGCTGGGTCACTTGCCCAGTACCAACAGGGCTCTGGGTTAGAGATGTCACATCCATCCTGCAAAACCTCAAAAAAACCTGAGAGTGCTCAGCTCCACACTGCCAGAGCAGCCGAGCTCGGGGTCTGGTCAGGGAAATAACAGAGAAAAATGAGAGTGGTACAACACTGACATCAATGAATAGCACAAAGAGCAAGGAAAAATGCAGTGTCAGGGGTTAATTTCTCATAACTGTGCAAGTTTAAGGATGTAATAGATGGTTGTGTTTACAAGGACCCTGGCTGTGTCCCTCCCTCATTACTTGCAAAACACTGGCCCAGTTCTCCAGCTCACCCAGCTGCCCTGAGCTCAGGATGCTGTTCTGAGTCACACACACCGAGAGCACATTTCAGGGTATTTTTTGAGTGGTTAAACACTCCTGACCCTCTCCATAAAATCCCATTTTTCCACGGAGCACGGCACTGAACAAACCATCTCGTTCCGCTCTGGCTGCTCGGGGACACACTCTGTGTTGTGGTGTGGGGAAAGTTTACCCCCTGGGATATTTGCTGTGCTAAATTAGAAATATAAAAGGCTTTCTCCCATTTAACTGCTTGCTTTTGAATCCATGCTGTAAAGAAAAAAGCCCAGGATCCCCTCAGATCAGCAGGGGGGTGACAAGGAATGAATTGAATGGAGCTAAGCTGTGCCAAGGTGCTGCTTTTTTGGGGAGCTGTGGGACCCCCTGCCCACCCTGAGCTCAGAGTTTGGAGCAGGGGGGATGGCCACCACCCTTGCAGGACCTTGTGCTGCCCAGGGAAGAGTCACAGGGTGGGACTCATGTCCCTGGGAATCCCACACCACTCACAAATGCCTGTTCTCCAGGGGGATGTTGGTCTGGAGGTAGAAACGGGGCAACAGGATCATGTATTTTAACAGCAGCCCCCAAAATCCTGGCTCAAAACCCACTCCATGGCTTGTCCATGCACATTAAAGTCTAAACTAAGTTTTGACTTGCAGAGGTAGAAAACATCCCTGAAAATACCCAGACCTGGCTTACAGAAAACAAGGACCAGGCCCAGGCTCAACCTCTCCATCCACACCACACAAAGTGCCCAAATCTGCCAGAGGAGCATTTGGGGTCCCCCAAGGCACCCCAGGGCTCAGTAACCTCATGGCAGAGGCCAAATTCATCTTGGTGAAACCCCTGAGCTCCTTGGACAAAAGGTTCTGGCCACTTTATTATTATTTAGAGACATTTTAATACTTTGAATAGACTGGTAGAAGAACTGCCATATTAAATTAGTTGGAATTGGAATCCATCAAAGGGGTTTTTTTTCAATAGATTCCTTCCCCAACAGCAGGTTCAGCCTTCCTTCCTCTAAGCAGGATAATGTTTCATGGTTTGCTGCCACTCTAGTACTTAAAATTTCAATTCTATTGCTTTATTTGTAGCAAGTTAACTGCCATTAGCAGAAACAATTCTTTCTGAAATGATAACCACGTTACAGATGCCAAATCTAATAGCTCCATTACCCCAGATTACCTCCTGGAAATACATAGAAGGGTAAATTGCTCTGGTTTTATACAGAGTATGAACAACCCAGTTCATCTCCTCCACTGGGAATAGGTGTGGTGGAACATGGGAATCTCTGACTTCTCCAGTCAAAACCTGTTAGGTCTGTTTAAAGCACTCAGAGAACAGTTAAAAGCCAGAAAAAGAATCCAGGTGAAAGTTTCAGACAATAAAACTTCATTTTTGACCCAATAGTGTGGATCATTGGGAACTCACCAGCAGGCAAACAATGTTTTCTGAACTGGAAAGGGTTCAAGAGCCAAGAACAGGAGCTGTACCCTGAGAGAGCTGCTTTCATTATTATTTTATAGAATCCCAGAATGGTTTGGGTTGGAAGGGACCTTAAAGCTCATCCCCTTCAACTCCCTGCCATGGGCAGGGACACCTTCCACTAGCCCAGGTTGCTCCAAGGCCTGTCCAACCTGGCCTTGGACACTTCCAGGGATGGGGCAGCCACAGCTTCTCTGGGCAACCTGTGCCAGGGCCTCCCCACCTGACCAGTGAAGGAACTTCTTCCCAAGACTTTGCAATGTGACTTCAATTTATAGAGCAAAGAGTCAGTGATCCTTCCCTAAACACGCCTGGAAGCACAGCCCCAAGGCTGCCAGAGCTCAGGGAGGGTTTGGCTGATCCTCTGGGGCACAGGGGGTGACTCTTGGGGCTGGGCCTGTGCAGGGCTCAGGGTTGGACTCCAGGATCCTTGGGGGTCCCTCCCAGCTCAGCACATTCTGGGATTCTAACTGAGATTTAGCAACTTCACCTTCAGTTCTTCCTCTTCTCCATTTTGCTGCACATCCTGTTTCAGCACAGGACACCACAAAGCTCCCAAGTGGCCCTTGGGTCCCTCAAGCAACACAAATCAAGTGCTTCATTCTTCTTTGCAACAATGCTCCATATTAAATAAATGAGGAATCAAAGAGTGCTCGAGAATTTAACTGAAAACACCATTTGATTTTGTAGTAAATCCTTCAAGTAGGTGGACGTTGACAAGAACAGATTGCTCATCCACAACCAAATAATGGCCTGCAGACAAAGAGCTGATAAAGCCTCTTATTCTTTTGCCCCTTAATTAAAAGCATTAACACAGCTTCTTTTTAAAAATCACACAGCTCAGCTAAATGCATTTTTATTTGTCCCCATAGCTATTCCTCCTTTAATGAGAAAGGAAAAACACAATTTGGCAGGAAGGAAGAGCAGAATTACTGGGTTTGTATCCAGGAGTCCACAGTGTTAGTTCCCCACCATTATTTCAGTTGGTTCCTCTACACAATAACTGATGAAAGGTCAAAAAGAGCAGCTTTTATGAAATATCCTCAGTATGGATCTCTAAATAAAGATGAAGGAGATACAGGGAAAAACGTTTATCCTGGTCTATTAAGTTACTTTAATGGTCTTCCTTTCTTTAGCACACAGTTATCATCTAATGATTAAAAAGTCTCAAGGAGATTGCTTCTTCAATTCAAGGAAATTAATTTCCCCCACCATTGGATTTGGCTTCCAATTTGATACTAAAGAACAAGTTATGAAATATGTAGGAAAAAAAGATATTAAAAAAATAATTAGTGGTTTGACTGCAAGGAGGCTGAGAACAGACAGGGTGTCCTGTTCCCACCAAACTGCCATTGTTTTTAATTAACTTGGGTCACAGAGTTGCTCACCTTCCACATGACAACCCTTTGGGAGACACAGCCCCACATCTGGCACATTTGGGATAGTCCTTTACCTGCCCAGAAAGATGTTCTTTGTCACTCTCCCAACCTCACAATTCCTAATTTAACATCTTAGAATCCCAGAATGGTTTGGGTTGGAGGGACCTTAAAGATCATCCAGTTCCACCCCCTGCCATGGGCAGGGACACCTTCCACTAGCCCAGGTTGCTCCAACCTGGCCTTGGACACTTCCAGGGATGGGGCAGCCACAGCTTCTCTGGGCAACCTGTGCCAGGGCCTCCCCACCCTCCCAGCCAAGAATTCCTTCCCAATATCCAACCTAAATCTCCCCTCTGCCAGTTTGAACCCGTTCCCTTGTCCTGTCACTCCAGTTCCTGATATAGAATCTCTCTGTGTCCTCCTTGTACCCTCTTTAGATCCTGAAAGGTCCTGTGAGGTCTCCACACCATTTTCCCAGCCTGTCCCCACAGGGGAGGTGCTCCAGTCCCCTTATCAAGTCCCTCCTCTGGACTTGCTCCAGG